GTGTTACAGGCCCTAGCCTGCTGCTTTAGGAGACAGTGGACCTATTGTAGGTGAGGCTTTGTGTTGTCAGCTTTCTGTTGCTGTAACAAAATATCTGAGATCAACAATTTAAAGGAGGAAAAGTTTATCTTGGCTTGCAATGTCCATCCATAGTCACATGGCCATGTTGCTTTAAGCCTGTGGTAAGGAGGAGGAATATCATGGCAGAGAGCATAAGGTTGGGCAAAGCTGCTCACCTCATGGAGGTCAGGAAGCAAAGAATAAAAGTTAGGAGGGGCTAGTGTCCCAATGTCCCCTTCCAGGGCACACCTCCATTGACGTCACTTCCTCTCATTGGGCTACTGGTGACCTCACTTCCCCTCCTCACACCTTCTCAGAGTCCCCAGTGGCCTTGCATCCTCTCACTGCCTTAAGATGAACAGGCAACAGGTACTTCCCCACCATGTACCACAACATACTGTGACACCCAGGCCCAAAGCCACGGGCCCAAGCAATCATGGATCAAGACTTCTGAAACCCTGAACCCAAATAAATCCTTCTTCTTTTTCAATTGACTAAGCATTTTCTTATAGTAGTGGAAAGCTGATTAACAAAAGGGGATACATGTGAAAAAAGACAATCCCTGGTGCGAGAGAAAGATACATTTCAACAAGGGGTCACATCTTTTGGTCCCTGTGCAGGGCAGGCCTTTCTGGCCACTATTCAGCTGGCATTTCCATCTGTCTTCTACTAGTGTTCATTGTTTATTTGGCCCTCAGCAAATGTTTGCTGGCTGAATGAGAGGATAAACTGTGTGTATGACATTTTCTCCTCAGGTTTTCATTTTCTCCCCCAAGGAACTTGATTTGACATTTCCTCTCTATAAGTAAGGTCCTGTGTCTTGGCATTCACCACTTTTGAAATTGGAACATTTATTCTTTTTTGCTAAACTTCTTTATTGTTTCAGGAGGGTTTCATTCTTAATTTTGAGATTTTCTGTTGTAGATAATTGAACTTCATATTGCTGATAAGTAGAATTTGCCTCTTGGTGGTCTCTATCAGGGACCTCACATGGCAGTAGCTTAACTGAGACCTATAGGAGTTTATTCCCAACAGCTCTGCTCTGCACAAAGGCCTCGTTGCCTTCTCTCCTTAGGATCTTGCCTCCCTCTGTGGGTCTGAGGTCTGGGCCAGGCTGATTGTCACTCATACTGTGACTGTCCCTCCCACACACATACCACTGCTGTGTAGGGCAACGTGGGCCTGGTATTCCTCCCTCAGGGACAAGGGCCACTTCTTCATTTCCTGAGGGTCACTGTGGCTTGAGGAGGGCACAGAACATATCTCCCCACCCAGGGCTTGGCCACAGGGACTTGTGTCTCTACCATGAAAGTCACCACAGCTTTGGCAGTGCCTACCCCGCCCCCTTGCCCAGGGCCCTTTGCTCCAGTGCACTGTGTGGCTCTCTGGCCTGATTCTCCCTCCATGTCCCAGGGCTCCCTGATATAACCTCAGCGAGTCTTGGGGCTAAATATTTGGGTAATGGAAGCTTGAGTTAGATTTGATAAATATTTTTATAATTCATACTAATAGTAGCCTTAAAAATATATCTACATTTAAAGTGGCCTTTTAAAAAACCAAGAAGAGTCTCAGGTAATCTGACTGGAGGAGGACCTTTGTCCTTTTTTCCTGTTAGCTGAAGCCACCAGGAAGCTTGAGGCAAAAAAGCCTCCAGACATGGTCCTTGGAGACACCTAGGGTCCCTAGAGGGCCAACAAATGTCACAGGCCTGGCACTTCCATAGTACTCACTTGGCATCAGGGACCACTCTAAGGGCTTCTTCTGGGTGGCCTGATTTCATTTTCAAAGGGCTGAGGGCAAAGGGTATGTGAATGGAGGTGAGGTGTGAGAGGCCTTCCAGGTGACTCCTGACTGACAAGACAGGACAGGACAGGACAGGAGGTGGGAGGGCTTCCAGGGTTGGGTCAGGGTGGGCTTCAAGGCTGGCTCTGCAGGATGGCGTGGCTTGAACAGGATACAATCACATAAAATGTCTAGGCCCATGCAGTAGGAGAAGCAAACAACACTCTGGACTCAAGGGAACAATTTATCTCAGGAACCAACAATGGCAGGCGGAGCTGTGAGCCGGAGGGAGGCAAAGTAAAAGGTAGGAGGGGTGAGCATGTTCAGGCAGGACTGGGACAGGAGAAGTCCCTGCCTCTCCGTGCCTGCTGCAGCCAGCTAGCCACCTTTAATCACTACCTTGAGAACACCCAAAGAAAGAGCCCTCAGGGCCCAGGAACACCAAGGTGACCACCACCATTAAACTCCCTGCCCTTGTGGCAGGCAGATTTATGTCCATTGCCTTTAACAAGGTAGATTCTTGTCTGTTTTTTATAGATGAGGAAATTGAGGCCCAGAGTAATTTTCTCAAGGTCACTCAGTTCATAGGTAGGGACGAGACAGTGTAGAAGACTGGAACAGACCACGTGCATCACCAGTAATTGTGGCAGCAGGCTGAGAAGAGCGGTGGTGAGAATACCTAAGATAGCTCTAGCAGGAAGGCAGGTGCACCTGGCACTTCAGCGGGCAGGGTGCATTACTACCAGCAGAGGGAAGGGCAAGAGCGTTCATGGCAAGGGGAAACACAAAAGAAATGATGGGAGCAGGGATAAGAACAGTACGGAGCCCACAGCGGGAAAACGATATTGAAAGGGCTGGGGAGGGACTTTGCCAGGAAAGGTACGGGCTGAGGCTTTGGACCGGCTTCAGTAGGTCATTCACATGGGCACAAGTTCCTGAACCAAACGGTGACAGAGTGAAAACAATGATTCAAAAAGATTAAAATCCAAAGCGCATGATTTCCCACAGTGGACAGGGCATGGGGATGCACAGGACACAGCCGACCAAATCCATGCTAAACAGCGCGCGGCCACATAAACTCCATCACTGCCCAAATGATTCCCTTAGCATAGCGAACTTTCCGCTGCTCAAACAGCAAAGCTTGCAAAACCTCTGCTGTGTGTTTGCAGCTTTGCTAGAGAGTCCGCTGAGAATCCAACCTGAGGAAACCTGTGTGGGGCGCAGAGTGAGTCAGGTGTTGGGTCTCACTGCAGAACCAGAGGGGTGACGCTCAGTCTAAGTGTCTCTCACAGACGGTGTACAATGTGTCAGGGCGTTAAAACATTTGTCACTGAGCTTTTTATTGCTCTTTATTTGTGTAACAAATCGTAATTGTGGCTATAAGGAAGGCAGTGATGCCAGCAGTAAAGCTAAGAGGAAAACTGAGAACCTCGATACAGAAAATGAAAGAAATCATAATGAGATTTGTTAAAGTCCTGAAAAAATGAATTTGTAAGTATAATTTTTGGGCCCCAGAACCAATGATTTGATTTCCATTATTTCATATGGGGAAAGTACATTCACTTCTCGAACTTTTCAGTGTCTGAAAACCAATTTGGAGTGAATTGAATTTGACAGCTGAGGGGTCCTTGTATATTAATACAAAGAACTAGCTGCCACATAAACTGAGTAGGTAAATGAAAGAGTTTTGGCCCAGACAGGACACTGGAGCCGGTAAAGCCTCAGGCGGAACCAAGGAGCTCTATCTTCCCCACCCCTAGGAATTTACCTCTGGGGCCAAAAGAGTACCAATGGGCTACCTGTGTATCCCTAATGCCCCTCAGGCACCACCCCCAACCTAAGCTACGTGTATGCCCCCACTCTACGCATTCCATGGAGAGATCGCCGACCCTGGGGGAGATGCCTCTCCCTGCATTCTCAAAATAACGGTCATTTATATGTCATACTTCTTTTCAGCCGCCGCCAGTCCCCCACAGTTCTATCAGTAAAAGGTGAGTTTCCCTCTTTCTGGGTTTAACTGATATTTGTATCACTTATCTGGAAAAACTGAGGCCTATAAACAAAATCTGTGAGTGTGTGGTGTGTTCACACAGCATGGTTGGGCAATGTTGATGATATAGTTCCTGCCTAGCCTGAACCCTCCACAGGTGCCCAGGAGGAGGGCTGGGTCTGAGGACCTGTAGGATGGGGTGTCTAGAATGCACCCAGGTGCCAGGCTCTGTGTAGACCTATCCTGGGTGGTCTCTTCCACCAAGATGTGGCGAAGGCCTGGAGACTGGCTTTGATTTTTGTTTTTTACAAAATTGTCCAGTCAAGCTTAAGCACACATAATGAACTTCTCCTATGGTTCTGGGAGGGAAGCAGGAGGAAGGTGGAAACAGTTGTTACGATGAGAAGGGTCAGTTACCCATGGGTGTTGCGGCATCAAGTTCTGGGTGCTTACACTTGACCAGTGGGATGATGTGGCATTTGAATGGGAGAAAGGACAAAAGATGACCCACTGCTGCTTGGTTCAAGTAGGTAGCTACTTGACCTCTGTAGTGGTCACACGAAGAATCCTGTTTGCCACCCCCCTGCTACGTGATTCCCATACTTCCTTGACTCTTCTGTTCTTCCGCCTCACCCTGTAACATATTCCTTAGGCATCTGGACAATAACAAACTCTACAGGAGATGACGAATGATAAATTCCATTATCCAGTTACATTGCTCTGTTCCATTGGTATAATGAGTTGACACAAGCAACAGTGGGCACACACTCATACCAGGCTGCAGTGATTACTAAGCAACAAACTAGAAACTGTGCTAAGTAGGTCACATTTGTGTCCAGGTGTGTGCAGGTCTGGAGCCACCATTGCATGTAGATGGATGTTTTGGGCAGGCAACCAGCTCTTCTCCAGAACTGACTGCAATGTAGTTGTCTAACAAAGAGTCTGGAAGGTGGTAGTGTTTCTGAAATTGTTCTGTGAGTCTGGAGCTAATTTTAAAGGCCACTGATCTTATCTGCACATGCCTGCCATTATGATGTGCTGTGCTTACAACAATGTAGCCCAGAAGAGCTATTCTGAAGATCCGCCTTAGTTTTTTTTTTTTTTTAACTTTATTTTGAAGGTAGTAAAAATACAACAGAACAAAGCCATTCGAGACAATGCAGTGAAATTGGTACAGAGCTTCAGAGCAGGATACTGGGATGGTAGTAATAGGTACTATGGTATATCTTGTTATCTTCACAATAGCTGTCCGGCCAATCAGGAATAGTAAAATCAAGCCAAAAATAGAACATTATAAAACCAATTGAAAGAGAGTATTGAATAGAGCAAAACAAACATAACAAAACAAAACCACCTTTGCCTTCAAACAGAAGATAGAAGGAAATCCCCGATATTTGCTATATTGCATATGGTCATCTTCCAAAAGAATCTGAAACATCTGTCCCCAGTTGCTACGGGGGTGGGGTGGGGTGTGTTTGATTCTCAGCCCACACGCCACCAGTAGGCTCATGGGTTCTCCTCCTGGCCCATGCCAGGGGCGCTTACCAAGAGGGCGGGTGAATAAGCTGCCTAAGTCCCACCGTGGCCAGACCCTGCCTTAGTTTCTAACTCCATCATCCCTTTCTATATTCTGCTGTTGGAGTGATCCTAGGAAACATGTTTTTTCTGTTTTGCTTCCTGTAGGAGAGGTTCAGAGAGATGAAGACTCATATCTAGGGTCATGTGGACAGCACAGCATTTGAGAGGGAGGAAGGGCAAAGGACCACGAACTGCTTCCTGGCTCAGCTGTGGTCATTTTTAGGCCTCTATGGATTGTCAGGTGAAGAGTCCTGGTTTTCTTTTCTCTCCTCCAGCATTTCCATTCTTCCTCAACCCCTCACTGGCTCCCGATCAGCCCAACCTGTAATGTCCTTGGGGCTCATAGGAGGTTTCTGGTTGAAGCTTGGACACTGGTAGAGCAAATTCTCAAAGATGGAAACCAAGGATGTTGATGATATGTATCTCTTCACTTCTAAAGCCCAGCATCCAATGGCTATTTTCCTGCTGGACCCAGGTGTGGGAGGAAGTAGAGTCAGATTGTGCACTGTCTATACTGCCTGCCGCCTCTCTTGGTGCCCTACCACTGTGTTCAGAATGAAAGAATGAACAACCCTCATGTCGTGCATAGCTGAGTCTTGGGCTTTGCCAGCTGAGAAGGATATAATGGTTTCCGTTACCCGATACTCTGGAGTTTATTTTTCTGTAAATGACACTACTTTTGCCTGTTGCTAGAGAATTATAAGTTCTCATTGTTCAAATTATTGTTTCAGTAATTACTGTGGTGACACAGGGAGAGGAACGGAGCTGCCCCCTCTTCTGAACCAGTGAGCCACGGTGAGTCAAGGATGTGTGACAGTGGGCACTGAGTCTCTGGTTGCCAAGAACACGTCATGACAACACATAGGTTTCAGGATCGTGGCGTGGCTTTGCTGGGAAAGAGTGTACAAGCATTCAGATCTCAGCTCAGTTGTTCCATGCTGAATGCAAGATGTTGTAATGCAACTCGACTTCTACGCTGCTTTCTGTGGCTGGGGATTCAGCGTCTGTCCATGAGCTCCAGCCCTACCTGCAGATGAGCAAAGCTGGGCCTCACCTCCCCATCCTGTCCCCCTGAGCTGTACCTGGTCTTCCTGTGGGGACCATCACTCACTCTCTTATCTGTGTCTATTCCTTAAATATCTTTTCTGTTTCTCTCTCCCCCTGTACTCCCTCTTTCTTTTTCTCCTTCTCTTAATAAACACCGAATAATTTCTTGCCAAGTCCCAGACACGCTGGGAGATGTAAAAATGATTGACTCATTCTTCATGGTGACGAAGCCCCCCTCACAGGACACAGTGCCTTTTTTTTTTTCCTGCAGCAGCTTTTATTAAAGATGTACTAGCAAAAGAGGAGCTTTCGCAACTTAGCGCTGCCAACAACCTCAGACTGAATGTCAGACACGCCTGTCTTCAAAAATCTTTATACTACTATACCTCGTGTCTTGGATGTCTTCTCTCTCCTTTGCCTTGAAAGGGGAGACCTGTATCCCAGCCTCCCAGTGAGCACCTGGTGGCCAAAGACTCAGGGAGCCATCTCCCAGAATGGGGGGACACCCACCTCACTCTTTCTTCCTACCCCATCTATCTGTCCACAGGAAGTGGCAGGACACATTTACTCACCCCTGACGGCCCAGTCCTGCCCTTGCAAATAATTTGAGTAACCTCAATTGATTTGGGCTTTAATGCTCATGATAAAAGGTGCACTTGTTAACAAGTGTGTGTCTTGTTTCTCCTCTTAGCTCCTAAACTGAGCCAGGCAGGGGCTGCCTCTTATTTGCCCCTTTTTGTTCTCTCCTAGCTCCAGGCATGATGCCAGGTGAGTAAAGCTTTATAAATATTTTTGCTGGATGGACAAGGTCTTTGCATCGGATTTGAACGCGTGAGTTGTTTCCTTTACTTGACAGAGCTGAGATGCAGGACAGGAACTGACAGCAACCTTTCAACTCTGCTTGTTGAAGAGCTTGCTGAATAGATCAGGATAGAAAAAACGTAGACAATGACAAATCGGTTTGTTTGAACCAGAAATGTTTTGAATTTTGGATGTTTTAAATTTTTGGAATACATGCATATATACCATGAGCTACTTTTAGGATAGGGGAAAGTCTAATACAAAATTCATTTATGTTTCATGTACACCTACACATGTAGTTTTAAGGTAATCTTGTATATTTTCAATTATTTTATGCAAGTTTCATGGTACAGAATCTTTCACTTGCGTTGTGGTCAGAAAGCTTTGGATTGTTAGTATTTAGAATTTAAAATTTTTGAATTAAGAATGCTCAATATGTAATAATAATAATAATGATAGCAAACTCTTAGAATAACTCTGTGTTCCAGGAAGTGTCTTCAACACTAACGCACTTAATCTTTAACAGTTCCAGAGTCAGTCAGTCCTGATTTCTTCTTGTTTCCTTTTTAATGGCTGAGTCACTTGCTGTCTTCGGACCATGAAGTTTTCCAAAGGAATGAGATAAAGGATAAATAAACTCCTTGGAGAGAGTTGCTGCTTTCTCTATCTCACAACGCCAGGGTCTAGCACAGCTGTGGGCCCCAGTGTGGGATGTGTAATTTGCAGCTGCATGTCTGTAACCTCAGCACTCTGGGAGACTGAGGCAGGAAGATTACAAATTTGAGGCCAGCGTGGGCAATGTAGTGAGACGTTGCGTCCAAATAAATTGTTTAAAAAGGGCTTAGGGATGCAGCTCAGTGGCAGGGCATGGCACCAAGCATGTGGGTTCAATTCTGAGTACCACAAAAAGAAAAAAAATAATTCGAATAGTTGGTCTTTTCTTCTGTGATCTTTCAACATATATATTTTTTATTTGTTATTTAATGTTACTCAAAACAAAGGGAAGTTAAAATTTTAAGTTATTAAAATTTTAGCATTTATTTTTATGATGTGCGATGCTAGTTTTAGATGCAAACATCAGCTCATTTAATTTGTGTGTAGACTCACTGTAGCCACACAATTCCTATTTCATGGCTGGTTCTTGCATGTTTGTTTCTTTCTTACCAAGCGCCCTGGGCTTCTTTCCCTTCCAGACCAAATCCTCATGCTCTCTTTGCTTCTGCAGAGAAGGAGCAGAAGGGAGGGGGAAGGGACAGGAGAGGGCGAGGGAGGGGAGGGAGGAAGAGAGAGGGTCGGGAGGCAAAGCTGCCTCTGCCAGTGAGTGTGCAGTCCAGCAGCAGGATGGGGTGTTTGGCTTTCAGCGTGTGACACCCACTGTGCGGGAGGCAGGGCAGCCTGTGTGAGTGGCTCACCTTGGCCTTGTTTTGGGCCTCTCTGGACACCCTTGTGTCCTTTGTTGACCAGAGCTCTGTGGTCAACACGGGAGCCTGGTAAAAGCACTATGCAAATGGGGTGACAAGAAGGGCACACAGAGCTCTAGGTTCTGTGTTCACAGCCACACCCCACTGTCTCACCAGACTGCACTTGCAAACCTAAGACCCACCTTACTGCTGTGGAGTCTCAAGAGAACCGCAGCAGAAAGCCCAGCTGTGGGCACTTTGGGGTTGGGGACCCCATGGTGGAACTGCTCCTGCCTCTGCTCTGTCCCTGTGCAGAGCCATTATTCAGCCAATTTATTTGATTAATTAATTAATGAACAAAGGTTAATTCGTAAGCATGGGGCTCATTAACCAAAATTCAGTTTTCTATTAAGGGTAGACAGAATCAAGATATTAATCCCTTGGATAAGTTTTACAGTGAAGACTTTTAATTTGCTTTTCTTCCATGAGATTGATTAATCGGCTGCAGTGCTGCACAGGCTTGAATGCTATCAGTCCCATTTTTGGTTAGGCAGTCCCCGGGAGAGAAGGGGATGGAGACGGGTGAGGCATGAAAAATTCATGGTTGGGGGAGGCAGGTTCCTGCAAGAGAAAGATGGATTCTTACGGCAGATAGGGTTTGATGTATTAATAACCACTTTGGTTCTGAAGAGTTCACATGAACAGATTTACTGAGGCAAAACTGCTTTAAAAGTTTAAGGGGGCTCACTGTTAGCTGTAAGCCCCAAGCTTTCCTAGGGAGGGCCTGTAATAATGGCAAGGTGACTAAATGCCATTTAGAGGAGCTGAAACGCAGTTTTCCCAAGGAGGAAAAAATCCTGTGACAGGTGCCTACAGGCCTAATTCCATTTTATCTTTTTCCTAAATGAAGCTTATTGTTACTTAAGAGATTCAAGAGAATTAGAGTTGCATTAGATTTATCAGCTCTATCAAATGCCTAATGTATGCCAGGCACTGCTGGATGCTGGGACTCTGCAGCAAAATCCAGTAAGTGACCTCGGAAGTTTCCAGTTTGTCCTGAAATGAAAGCTGAGGGGATGGACAGGGTCTCCTGGACCCTGTGAAATGACTGTTTATATCCAGAGACTGTGATGTCAGAGGAAGTCATTTTACCCTACAGAGGTTGTTGTAACTATCTATGATCTCCATGGTAACGGATAAACCAGAGCTGGAACGGGGTGTGTGCTCCAGCTGTGAGCTGCCTCCTCCTCCTCTGAGTGCCAGCCTGATTTGCTCAGTTTGAAGCGGAAACCATTTCTCTGCATGTGGAATTTGGCTGGGGAAGAGCAGGCAGATGGGAAAAGGAGACAGCAGAGCCACTACAAGATCACAAACGTAAGCTAAGAAATGTGGATTTATTGGACCTTCCTGATGTGCTGCACTTGTGGTCTCATCCTGTTTGATCTTGTGGTAACTCTGTAATTGGCTGTTCTTGTCCCTATTAAGCAAGGAAACTGAGGCTCATGTGGGCTGCAGATATTGTCCTGTCTGATTGCAGAGCCCGAGCTCTCAGTGCCAGATGGCTGCGGTTCTAAAACATAGGTGCAGTGGATCTGTGAGTTCAGAGATGAGATACTGAGACCCAGCCCAGCTCCAGACCTACTTGAAAGGATTTTGGAGAGTAGCTGGTCCAAGTGAGGCTCAGAAAGGAGAAATGACTTGTCCAACATGAAGCAAAACAAAACAAGCCAACTGAGACCTTACCTACAATGTCATTAACTTAGGACAACTGGGATCAGTGGAGAGGCCTCACAAGTCTCCTTCCCTTGGACAGGACCGGGCTAGTGGTTTCTGTCCCAGGTGCAGCTCTGTGGACTTACAGGGAGGAGAGTGGTTCTTGCAGAGAATCAGAACATGGATATGCTGGATTCAACTACTGAAAAGTTGTTTTCTTGTATATGATCACTCCCTAGAACTGGTGCTTCAATCAAAAAGAAAAGAAGAAAGCTTATTACATGTTCTTTCTAGCATTTCTGCCTGCAAGGCCAACCCACTTTCCAGCCCGGTCACCAGGGCAACAGTGATCACCCCCACCTTGACAGCCAAGTGCATATACAGCTTCTTGCACCCACATCCAAGGGCCTCAGGACTCAGCCCTATAATCAGCCTCCCTCTGCCTCTGCAGGCAAGCCAGCCACGACAGCCAGAGGCTCATCATCCTACCCCAGCTCTGCAGACACCCCCTTCTCAAGCTCACACACTGATCTGCTTCCCTCGCCCACTGCCTCCCCGAGACAAACTTGCAATCTGTGGTACCATGCAAATGTGGATTATCACCTCTGGAGGCAGGGATCTGCCCTGAGAGGAGCAGAGCCCAACACACACAGCCTACCTATGAGAAAACACCCCCTCCTGGGAAGGGGAGTGGTGGCAGTCAACGCCCTCTTCCCTTGCAGAGACAGCTGAGGGGGCGGCTGGAGTGGAGGAAGAGTTTGCAAAGTGACTATCAGAGGGGAGGCTGGGCTGCCACTAGGAAGGGGGCTGTGGGAGCTGGGCACCCACTCCCTGTTGCTAATGAAGCAGCTCCCAGTGGCTTGCAGAGCCCTTGGGCTCCCTGCAGAGGAGATCAGAGCCCCTTCTATGGCCACAGATCCCAGGCATCAGCTTAGCAGAAAATGAAATGTGCCCTCTCCAAGGCAGGCCTCTAGGGACCAGATTCTGCACCAGGACTTGTGAGGACCACCTCGGGCCCAGGGAGCCCACCCCGGAGCTCACTTGCTCTGCTGCACTCATCTGAGCCCCTTCCTTAACCGGTGGAACCCAGTGATGCCTCCGGCCCATTTGTGTCCTGACTGCTGTTCCAGATGCCCCAGCTGCCTCCCGCACCCAGCTCGCCCCAACATACACCTATTTTGGATACACCCTAGGCCACCTCATATTCTTTGGCTCTCATTAACCCCAGGGATCAGAGACTGGGGTTATTTATTTTTTCAGGCCTGGAAATTGAACCCAGGTCTCCATACTGAGCTATGTCCCCAGATCTCTTTGTTTTATTTTGAGATAAGATCTCACAAAATTGTGCAGGCTGGCCTTAAACTTTTGGATCCTCTTGCCTTAGCCTTCAGAGTGGCTGAGGTCATGGGCACACAGCTTCACCCCAGGGATTAGGTCTGCATTCCCCTTCTTTCTCAGTTCCTTGAAGCCCGAGGCCAGGCCTAGGCCAGCCCTAAAGGTCTTCTGACTGGAATGAAACTTAGTTTTGAGAACTGGAAATCTGTAATCCCAGCACGTGGAAGGCTGAGGCAGGAGGATTTTGAGTTTGAGGATAATGTGGGGTATAGAGCAAAACCCTGCTTCAGAATACAAAACCAAAGCCAGAACAAAAACCAAACCAGAGCAGTTGAGAGCCTAAGTGTGAGGCCTTTAATTTCCAGGAGTCAGTTGTGACGGGTTGGGGGCCCTTACCCTCCTCCTTCCGTGGACGGTCCCCAGGCCTGGGGTTCTCTATGGCCGGTCTGGAGGCACCCTGTGTGGCTGAGCACCGGACTGGGAATGCAGCAGCTGTCTGCACTGTACCCCGATCATTTCTCAGCTGGCACTGCCTCACCCTCTCCCTCACTCTGGCTGCTGTGCAATCGTACCTCCTCCCAAGAAAGCCTCCACACCTGAGCTTTGCCTCTGACTATTTTCTAGGAAACCCAGGCTAAAGCAGTACAAACAGAACAGTACACAGACAAACAGAACAGAACGCTCGTCCTCTGTTACCCAGCCTAACTCTCACTGGACAGACAAGGGAAGTGATTTTCCTGCACTTACAGCTAGTTAGTGGGGAAGCTCTGCTTGTTCATTACTGTAACAGATGATTAACAAGCACTTAATATGTGCCAGGCATTATTCTGGGTATTGCAAGTACAGTGGTGAATAAAATGGGTAAAAATCCCTGCCTTCATGGAGAACAACATTGTAGTGGAAGATGGAAGAGAAAAAGGCCATAATCAACATGAATAAGCAAAATATGCAGAAGATCAGACTGATAATTTCTGGTCCTGGGGATGGTGGATATCACAGGTTAAACTGTGTCACCTCCCATTCCTTGAATTCATAGGTTGAAGCCTTAATCCTCAGTTCCAATGAATGTGATTATATTTGGAGAGTCCTTAAGGAAGCAGTTAGGTTAAATGGGCCCTCATTCAGGCCAGCTAGTGACTGTGTAAGAAAGGAACACGTAGACACATTGCCAGGGATACCCACATGAAGAGCAGAGCGATGGGAGATCCTGGGGGGAAAGTGGGCATCTGTAGACAAGCAGTCAGGGCTGCAGAGAAACAGACCTGGCCTGCCTTGTCCTTGGGCTTCTGTGGTTTACAGCCAGCACATGTACTTCATGTGCTGTGTCTGCCTCTGGCTAACTAGTACGGAGGGATCTTAATTTGTTAAAAGGCATCTGAAATGACCTCATCAAGAAGGTGGCATCTGAGTAAAACCCTGGAGGAGATGATGGGGTTAAGGTTAGGATTCCTTTTGGGTATTTTGTCTCAGCAATGAAAAAATAAGACACTTCCTTACCCCAAATTCTGCAGGCTGCCGGCTGATGGCCCATTCCATTATGACAGTCGGTAAAGGCCAGCCAAGTTCTTCTGGCGTCCAGTCATGCTGACAATGACACATCAGCTCCCTTTTTCATGTCTAAGGTCCCTAGTGATTAAAGCCCAGGACCACAATCCAGGGTTACCTACTTACCTTGAGATCACCTTACATCTTAGTCACATGGAAGTTCCTTTGCCCTGCAAGGTAACATTCACTGGTTCAGAAGGTTAGGACAGGGACATCTTTGGAGAAGCATTACTTTGCCTCTCACAATAGCCAATTAATTCAGCATAACTTGTTAAATGTTTTCTGAACCTGAGTCCAGAAGCACATTGGTTTGGTGGCAAGAATAATAGTAATGACAAACACTCATGTCAGGAATTCTTCTAAGCATTATGTGCAGCATAACTTATTTAATTTCCTCAACAACTCTTGGTGCTGAATACTACTATTACTGCTGTCTTAGAAGTGAGTAAAGTGAGGGGCAGAGGGGTTAGGCAGGAAGGTAGAAAGTAGCAGAGTCTGCATTTAAACCTAGGCAGCTGTGTTTTGAGGTCCATAAAGCTTAGCACCATGCAACTGTTAGGTGAACAAATTCGGTGGACACATCTAGCTTTCCTTAGTTCTGTGTTCATGCTTAGGTCTTGTGACTTCTCTGAGCTTTCATTTCATTACTGGTCAAACTGCAATTGTGAAGCATCTTCTGTACTTCACAGGGCTGCTGCGAGGGCATAGTGAGATGATGGAAAAATAGGACTCTAAGAGTCCTTTTCCCACATGTCACTGGCAGAAATAGGACTGGTGATCAGATTTCCTGGCAGCCAGGCTGAGGCAGACTCCTTCTATTGCACAGTAGTAATTGGAGCAGTTACAGATTTCAATCATCAAATTGAGTGTTTTCCCTTCACCAACCTCCTGCTGGGAGCAGCCAACACCAAAGCTACGTCTTGTCTTTGTGGTTCAATGGACATTAAGGATGTCACCAAGTTCCAGATGATCCTGTTATAAAATTCAATCAGGAGATAGTACTTCCTCGCTAGATCAAGGTAAAATTTACAAATGTATCAGTTATTGATCAAAAGGGAAGGAAAGAATTTCAGAAATTGAGAGAAAAGGAAGCACAGGTATTTGCTTAGGAAAACCACCTCCCCCACGACTTTGCCCTTTCTGCAACCTCTGCCTTCTCTCCACTCTCATTCTATCACGAACGTCGCCCCTTTCTATTGGCCTGCACTTCTCTTTAGTTGACTAAGGATCAGAAAAGCAGAATTTAAGCTTTGGGGCACATCACTCACCATTTTGCTTTGAACTTCAAAGATAATAGTAAAAAAAAAAAAACAGTAAAGAGAAGGGAGATTTGCTCTATCAGATATTAAGACACACATTGGCCTCTCCTATCTACCTGGGATCTATTTCAAGAAACCCAATGCATGCCTGATACCTTGGGCAGTATCCAGCTCTCTATATGCTATACTTGGTACCTATATATATGTAGCTTTGATGAAGTTTAACTTGTAAACTAGGCACAGTAAGAGGTTAACAAGAACCAAAAATAAAATAAGACAATCACTATATTAATCACACAAGCACTATGATATCATTCATGCCAGTCAATCAGATGATCAATGCAGCTACTAAGTGAGTAATGAGTTAGTAGAGTATACAGCATGGATACACTGAGAAAAGGGATGATTCACATCCAGTCCTGGGTGGGATGAAACAGGATGCCATAAAATATTATTACTAACTGGAATGAGAGCACAATTTAAAACTTAGGAATTACTTATTTCTAGAATTTTACACTTAATATTCTTCTAAACTACAGTTGGATATGAGTCATTGAGACCATAAGAGGCAAAATTGCAGATAAGTGGGCACCACTATAGAATAAAGGAGAGTAACAGAGGAATAATAAGGAGGAGTAACAGAGTCAGCACAGTGCTGGCAAAGAGCAGACCTAGAACAATAGGACAGCAACGAGGGCCCAGAAATATACACGTGAGGCTAATGGGTAAAGATACCATCACACATTGGTTGGGGGAAAAAACTGGCTCACCACACAGAAAAAATAGCATCATATCCCCATTAGCTACAAGAGATGAAATCCAGATGGATTAGGATTTAACTGTGATCAGTAAAAATATGGAGGTCAGATAGAAGAAAGTGTAGGAAATTGTTTTAAGATTGCTTTAGTAGGGCTGGGGATTTAGCTCAGCAGCATAAGTGCCTGCCTTGCAAGTGTGTGGTTGTGAGTTCGATCCCCCATACCAAAAAAAAAAAAAAAAAAAAGGAAAAAGATAGACAAAAAAAAAAAAAAAAAAAGATTGCTTTAGTTACTTTTCTGGAGGCTGAGACAAAATATCTAACACCTGAAATTAAGGGAGGAAAAGTTTATTTCAGCTCACAGTGTGTGGAGGTTCAAGCCCATAACCAGCTGGCTTCACAGCAGGGTGACACGGGAGAGTGGCATGGCAGAAGAGAAATGATCCATGCCAAGCAGGCAGGTGAGAACACATTAGTTCTCTTTCTGTCCCTTATATTTTATTCAGGCTACCCACCTTAGGGTGAGCACAGCATTGCCTCACAGAGGGGAAAGGAGAAGTAGAGGTGATGGGTTATGGAGTCTGCAGGGCTTAGTTTCACTCTGCTTGGTTTCACATTGCCTGGCAGGATGGCCATAACGATGCCATAACTATGCCAAACCAATCAGTGGACCAATTTAGTAATCACACACCCTTGATCCCAGCACCACACACTCTAGATCCAGCCACCTCTGAAAAAGCTCCATCTATGAGCACATGGGAGTTTCAGGGGACATCTAAACACAACCTTAACAATGTTGAAAATGAAATTCATAGATGAAACTCATAGATGAAAATTGTTAAATAAGATCCCAAAAATATACTCTGCAAGACTAAAATTTGATGTATTTGACTATATCAAAATTATGTATGAATTTTCATTCACCGAAGGAAAGCAAAGAGTAACCTACCAGGATACATAAAGGATTGAGAAAATATTTATAATGTCCAAAGCTGAGAAGGGAATAATATTTAGAACATGTAAGAAACCTCTTCAATTTATTCAGAAAAAAATTAGCTGGAAATCCTGCAGAAAATTAGGCCAAGGATGTAAATGGCTAATCTACAGAAAGAAAAACATCTGGGTGATTAAATATGTGGAAAGTTGTCCAAAATATAGAAATGAAAATTACAATATGATACTATCTTACTATTAGATTAATACAAGTTAGGACATTAGGTAATACCAGATATTAGCACAGGTAGTGGGGAAATGGGAATCTTCCTACCTTCATGTGCCACCGTTTGGAATGTGACTTGGCAAAATGATCCTGACAGGCAATGTGAGACCAAGCAGAGTGAAACTAAGTCCTGCGGATTCCACGGCCCATCCATTCCATTTCCTGCTTCTTGTATGTATGGGACACAGCTAAGGCCCATTCCAGCGCAGGCTGTAATAGCAGTGAACGGCTAGCAACCTAGTTGTCCGTTTTGGGGGAATTACTAAGTACAATATGTTAGATACACACGTCGAATTCTACAAGTGGAAGAATTAATGAGCACATGGCCAGCCAAATTTGTTATGGTTTGCAACTCCTCTGAAGACCATGCGTGGAAGGCTTGGTCCCTAGGCTATGGCGTTATTGAGAAATGGTGGAACACCAGCAAGGTGGGGCCTAGTGCAGGGAAATGGGGTCATTGGAAAGTGCCCTTGTAGTGGGTATTGGGACCTGGGCCCCTTGCTCCAAAGCCATGAGACTGACAGTCTCCCGATACTAAAATGTACTGTGTTCTCACAGGGCCTCTGTAACAATGAGATGAAATAAATCTTTCTTCCTTTAAATTCTTTCAGGTGTTTGGTCCCAGCAACAGAAAGCTAATACAATCTTTCTTATATATGTTGAAGAAAAACAAGGAATAGGATGAGTTCTTACCACAAAACCATTCATTTATATATTTAAAATATAAACATAAACCTAAAAATAATAGTATCTTTAGACATACGTATTGTACTGGGATTTATTTTATTTTGGTACCAAACTCACGACCTCATGCTTACCAGGCAAGCGCTTCCGTTGCTGAGCTACATCCCTGGCCCTGGGATGCATTTTAAATACACTGGTGTGTGCCTACACTGGGAGGGGGAGAGGGAGGGGTGTGAGAAGGCATGAGTGGAAAATAAGAGATGTTTCTCGCCGACTTTTAATGAGCTGAAGAATATTTAACCCTCATTCTCGGAGTCCGAAACAAACTACTCCAGCCTCCCTTCATCGCATCCTTTTCCTAACACAAGCAAGTGCCAGTGACTCAGGTTGCCTGCCCCAGCAAGGTCCTTATCCACACAGCCAACCGGCTCTTTCTTCCAAACCTTAGGTTCCAGCTCCCCACCCTCCATTCTGCCCACTTCTTACGACCCAAGCACACCCACCTTCCCCCAGAGCGCTGGCTCTTATTTCTCCACAGTTACTCTTTATTGAACGTTAGGTGTCTCTCTTCCAGAAGGCCTATTAGGGATGCTACCCTTCCCAAAGGTCATATACCTCTCCCTCACCCGGGTCTTAACTTGGTAGACATCCTTCTTTCAAGCTAGAGTTAGAGTTGAGCCCAGGAGGCCCCAGCATCCGCGGCCGGTCAGCTGAGCTTCTTGACTCTGGAACACCTGGAGAGTTATAGCAGGTGAAGCTGGACCCGAGCCCACCGCTTTCTTTCCTACTTCTCTCTGATTGGATCAGCCTCCTCCGCCCAGCACCCGCCCCCAGCCCGCCTCTGCCAGGCGGGAGGGAAGTAGGAGGCTCTGCGCACGCGCCACTGGGCGGGGCAAGCCCCCCCGGGGGCGGGGCGAGGACCTTGGAGGGCAAAGAGAAGCCTGTGTGGGGCGCGTGGTTCTGGGTGGCCGTTGCGTCTCGACTCGGACGCAGGCGCGCGCTGCAGGGGAGGGGCGGGGTTGGGGCTGCCCTCCCGCCTCGACCCCGCCCCCGCCCGCGCGCCTCGCCTCGGCCCCGCCCCCGCCCGGTCCGCCCCTCCCCGCCCCGCCTCCTCGGCGGGCCGCGCTCTGGCTCCCGCCGCCCGCCGCCCGCCGCTTGCTCGGCTCCTGCGGCCGAGAGCGGGAGAAAGTCCTGCTGGTGGGCGGCGTGGGGCTGCGCGCGTCCAGCATCCCGGGGCCGCTCCGGCCCGGGCGGCGAGGGCGCCCGGCAGTCCATGCCCCCGCCGCCGCCCGCCGCCGGTGTCGCGATGGATTTCGGTCAGAACAGCCTTTTCGGCTACATGGAGGACCTGCAGGAGCTCACCATCATCGAGAGGCCGGTGCGCCGGAGCCTCAAGGTGCGCCCCGCCGAGGGGAAGTGCTCTCGGGGCGTGGCCCGCCGACCCGCCACCGGCCCCTCTCGCCGTCGACCGGCTCGTCCTCCTCCGGCGCCGGCGCCGTGTTACTCGCCGCCGGGTGCCCCGGGTCCCCCTCGGCGCGGCCCGGCTCTGAGTATGGACCCTGAGGGACAGCCGCGTCCCTGCCCCTAATCCGCGCCCACCCCGTGACCGCGACTCCGACCCTCCACAGACGTCGCCGTCCCCGCGGCCGAGCGCAGCCCCGGCAGCCCAGCGTCCTCCCCTTCGGGCCGCCCCTCCCCCTTCCCGCGGGATCTGCTCGGCCGCGGTCCCTTCCACCCCGTCCACCCTTCAGTCTACACAGCCCCGACACCCTCACCCCCGACACCCGACCCCAGTACTCCCGTGCCCTTCCCGCTCCGCTGCGGATCAGGTGGAGCTCGGGTCCCCCGTTCCCTGGGCCGTCCGGCCTCCTTTGCTCCCGCCCGGCACCCGGAGTCCTGGTCCCCGTCTTCAAAGCCCTCTCAACCTTTTGCTTCCATCCAGAGTCGCCCTCCACCTTCCCTCCTTGCCCCTCCAGGACCCTGGCACCCTCGGACCCTGCGCCCGGCCCCCTCGAGGAGTCAGCGTTGCGCTTGTTCTCCCACCCCGCAGAGTCATCTTCCCAGCCTCGCGGCGGTTCCACCCCCACCGCTGGCAAATGTTTAGTTTAGGGAGCCCCCTTCCTCCTGGCCAGGCTCCTTATAGCGCGTCTCACTCCCACCTGCCGCAATGTCTTCGACCCTTGATTTCTTTCCAACCTCAGAGTTTATTCCCTTCCCTCCCCCACTCCAGCTCCAGTCCTCCTCATTCCCACTTGGTTGCAGCCTTTGACCACCCCCTTTTTAGCATTTCTTGGGGTGGGTAAGTCTTGGAGTATTAGGGGTAAAAGTGTCAATGCGTACACATGTATAATGCATAGGTATTGTATATGAAATCGATTATAGCAAGGTTCAGAAACCACAATGTGATTTTTCAAGCTGCAGTCTAGGAGCTAGAAGAGTGAAAACAGAACAAATCACCCCCAGCCTCTCACCCCGCACAAGATCACCCAGAGAAAAACTTCTGTGTCCCTAGAATCAGATCCTTAGTTTTCATTGTTACTGCTTAGTTGGAGAACTTTTCATTAGTCTTAACGGTGGCGAGGGTGGCAGGCCTGACCAGTGTTTGTGCCTAATTTGTATTTTACACTTGACAGACACCAGAAGAAATAGAGAGATTAACGGTTGATGAAGACCTCAGTGATGTTGAGAGGGCTGTTTATCTGCTCAGGTATTTCTTAGTCTTTCTGTGAAATTGCTGTTTTTTCCCTGTGGTAGCATAGATGAATACTTTCTGAAATGTCATATTTCCCTTGTGTTAGGATTTACTTACTCATTTGAACAGAGAATTTGTGCATGCCAAACAGTTAAGTGTGCCTAGCAAGCACAAGGTCCTGAGTTCGATTCCCGGTACCAAAAAGTAAAATGAAACAAACCAAAGTAACAACAAAAAACCCTGTTAATTATGTTTTGAATTAGATTAGGTGTGGATTTAAGAATTTCAGAATTCCGATCAAAGAAGATACCTAATTTATAGCATATTTGGAGGAGGAGAGGTACCACAATTAACTTTTATCCCTTTGTTCTTTTCTAGTTCAGTTTTGCTCGCTTAAGATTCAGTAAGTTTAAATGAGACTTGAGAGTATCCAGTGATTAATTTTTAAATTAATTGCGTAGTGTAAACCTACTATTTACTATAGCAAAAAAATCAACAAATTTGAATAAGCTGCCCAGGATATCCTGTTTGTAGTACTTTTGTTATGTGAGCTTTATAATTTTGCCTGAGAGTTTTTTTTTTTTTTCTCCTTTTCTTCGGGGATTGAACTCACGACCACCTGCTTGCAAGGCAGGTGCTTATGCCACTGAGCTAAATCTCCAGCCCCCTGAGAGTTGTTTTTAAACTTAATTGAGCCTACTCTCATTTAACTATCTCACAGTCCCTGCAGAATTGCTTTTAGGCAAATGGTATTTCAAACATTTATAAGATTTTCATGAATTATTTAAAATTGTGTTACAGATTTAGCTTCTTTAAAACTTACACAGTGAACATTAGTGAGCATATCAGTGAAAAATTTTCAGAAATGGACATTTTTGTGGGCCGGGATATAGCTCAGTGGCACAAGCATCTGCCTGGCAAGCACAAAATCCTGAGTTCAAGTCCCATTTAAAAAAAAACAACACTTTTTTTCCCCGTAGGGCATCTTGTCTTTAAAAGTTTGCTAATTTAAAAATTTGTTACATTAAAATTCTGTTAAGGTGCACGTATTTCCCCTGTTGTGGTAAATTTGTTTTTGTTTTTCAGAGTCAGATGTGGAAAGTGTATTATTTACCTCCTAGATATTCATCATTCTTGTTTCCTTAGCGTAGGTCTACTTTGCCAGTGTCAAGGTTCTGGCCAGTTTCTTGTCTCCAGTTTCTTTTTTTTTTTTTTTTTTTTGTCTTTTTCATTTTTATCAGTACCAGGGAATGAACTCACGACTGCCTGCTTGCAAGGCAGGCGCTTATGCCGCTGAGCTAAATCCCCAGCCCTCGTCTCCAGTTTCTTGTTCTCTGTTCTTGTTCATCAATCATGTTTCCAGTCCCATGTTACCCACTGAATGATTCTATATAAAAAGAAAATTCTTTCTCAGGACTTCCATTTTCTTAATTATTCTTTAGCCAATTAGCAGCATCTTGAGTTTCGGCTCTTAACTTTAACCAGAGTATCTGCATGCCTACCATTGAGCTCGTGCCTTCCAACAATTCTGTCATTTAACTTGGCTTCTGGACCTCTGGCTTTATCTTGATACCTACCACTCCTTTCCCCTGCTTATGATAGCATGCTCTCGTCATTTCTAGCTTTTAATTTAAAACTGTTATTTATTTATCAATTAACAGTGTCTTTGGTTTTTACATATAGTCTCTTCCAATCTTTAGCTGATTCTGATATTTTATTGGGTTGCATTTGCAGTATTTTATTCCTTAATAATTTAAAGAATTTAATAATATTTAAAGCAGTGATCAGTAGTTGTCAACACTTACCTTTTTTCCAGTTCTTCTACTAGAAAGAGGGAGGCAATTCATGAAAATTTGGATAAATTTAGCAGACAGCAGTTAATGATTTGAAGTAAGCCCCTACTCATTTCTCCTCAATTCTTTAGTACAAGCACTGGCTTTTACTATTGGGAAATGGAGAGTCTTGCTCCACTTACTTGTGATAGCAGACACCTTATTCTAGATATCAGTGATAAGGCTTCTTTTTTTAGGAAAGCTAATTTGTTTTCTACTTTGCTTTTATTGTTGGTTAGAGAACCAGGCCGTCTAAGTTTTCTGTATTTTTTCAGACATAGAACATAAGTTTGACTTAGTTCTGGAACTTACAAAGCCCTTACAGAGTCAGATGGGCCCTGTCATTGTTACAGAAGAGTTTTAAAAGAGATCCAGTGTCTCCTTTAGTTTCCTGTGGCTCATCTACCTTTAAGGAGGTTTGTAAGGTGCCCAGGAAGGGGAACACTAGATTGGTTGTGTTTGGGTTCTCCTGCTGAGTTCTGCCTTTGTCTTCCTACCATCTCACCAGCTCCTGGGGGAAAGTGGGGTTTTGCCTTCAGGCCAGTGTCTGCAGGGATCATGCCAAGACTACCTGAAAGGTTCTTTTCTTTCCTGGATTCGGGGGAGAGGGGCTGGGTTGTGTCTTAGCTATGTTCCAAATTCCCTCTGTTGGGGCCTCCTCATCTGCTCTCCTGTGTTGAGCCCCTCTTTTGAATGCAATTTATTTCTTCTTAAGAATTTCTTCTTCTAATGCTATAGGATCTAACACTGACTCCTGTTTTTTTCCTCTGTTGGGGATTTTTGGTTTGTTTTTGAGTGCTGTGGCTTTTCCTAATAGGTCATTTAATATTCATATATATGTGTGTCTATAGATAGATAGTCTCTGCTTTTGTGTGTCAAATCTGTTTCTTCTCTTATTTTGCATATTAAAACATTTGGAATATAATGTTAAATTAGAGTTAAGATTCAAATGTGTAAGCATCAGTAGGAAAGCTTTACGTTAGTGGAGATTCTCGTAGCACTTAAATTGAATCCAGTATTTAAAAAATGTTCAGAGTACTGTCATCCAATGAAAAACAAATTACATCGTTTATTATCTTACTCTAAAATATGGCAGGTCACTTATTAATGCCACTTTCACAATTCTTTAGAACAGTGCGGTATTTGAAGATTTGACACAGATGAATTTGTGGTTTTGCATAAACATGATGCTGATATACCCATCTGTGGCACTTAGCACTGAAGCAAAACAATTTTCCTAATAGTCACAGCTTGTGTCTTAGTCAAAATCATATCACAGCATATTTTTTCCTGTGTGATTTTGGCATATATCATAGGAATGTACTCAGAGTATTTGAATAATGTTGAGAAGAGTTCTAAGTATTTTACTGTGCTTTCTTTTTTTTTTTTTCTTTCTTTTTTGTCTTTTTCATTTTTATCGGTACCAGGGATCGAACTCAGGACTG